CTGTTTGTATCTGTCAGCCAGGGCTCCCTGATTGGACCAGCTTAACAGCCCCAATGAGGGTGTTTATATTCTATGACATCCACCTGGCTGACCTGATTACAATCATTACACCCATCAACATCCTCTCTTATTTTATGGAGGGGCAAAAACAGTAAAATACAAACAAAGAAAATAAAACCAAAGATGTTTCCAGACTTGTTGAGTTTCTCCAGTACTTTCTGCTTTTGTTCTATGGTGGAGTAAATTGGTCCTCTGCCTTTTCTCCAGACTCTCATTTAAGTGCTGCACATGGACTCGCTTTCAGAATCACAAGTATTAGGAGTGCTAGTGGACAGATATTTTGTTCCCACTTTCTGCACCAGCTGTGGCACTTTGGTGAGGTACAGACAAGTTTAGTGTCATTCGTTGTCACTGTTAAATTAATTGGATTATATGCAGGTGATGGACAATAACTGGGGATCTACTTGAGGCCCAACAAATAGAATTACAGTGAAACATAGTTGTTGAGTGAGAGGTGAATGTTTTCAATAATAAAATGAATGCTTATTAAAGTGTGCATAGACTGGCTCCAGTCCTACCCTACACCACCTCCCTTTCACAAACAGAACATTCACTCGTGAATTAACATCTGCCAGGAGCTGGAATGAAATTCACAAATATAATTCATCTCACACACATTTTTAACCAATGCTCTGTTGATTACAATAGGTGATTACCAGCAGTCATGTTGCAAAAAAATTAAGATATCACCTTTGCAAACATTCTCTCTTGCAATCTTTACAAGATGCCAACAAAATCACACAAATGTTTCTCATGCAAAGTAACTCGGTTTCCTTCTCGTTGTGTGAGTGGATTAAGTTAGCATTGATGGTACGACAGGAAATCTGTACAAGTTTATACTGGCAGCTGCAGATCTCCCAGGAAGTGAACACAAGCTTGTGCAGATTAGTGAGCCATTACTTCAAAGCCTGGGAAATGTGCCCAAACTTGTACAAACCAACCCTTACAAATACTCTGCTAATGATTCCAATACTGTGGTGGCAGCAAATGTTTACATGACAAAACCCTGATTGAGGAAATAATGTTCTGATAATGGAAACCAAACTATAAGCAAAATATCGCCACATTACTTGAAAGAAAGTTCTTAAGAAGAATCATATTAGGAATCAAAACTTTAACTCAGTTTCTCTCCCCACAGATGCTGCCAGACCTAATGAGTTCCTCCGGCATTGACTATTTTTGTTTCAGATTTCCAGCATCTGCTGTATTCTACTGCTGTATTACTTGAATGTCACTCGGAGGGTTAAACGATAAAAACAGGTTGCAGGAGCTTGGCTTGGATTCCCTTGAGGATTGAAGACTGAAGTGCTTAGAATGATTAGAACAATTCAGCAGGTAGAAACTGAAAGCTTCTTCAGAAACTTCAGAATATTTCTCCTGAAGGAGGAGCGAAGAACACAGTTTTCTATGTTAAATTGGGTCCCATCTTTGAGCCCTCAGCCATGTTGGCCTCAGCTAGAGTTGCTTCAGAGAGTGTTAAAACTAGTGTCAAAAACCTGTGGGCTGGAAATGGTTAAAAATCTGCAAGGTTTCTTGCATCAAGTTGTCTTCCGCTGACTCTAGCTGGAAAGTGCAGTGAAAATGATCAGAACTATGATTGATAGTGTTTTTTGTTGGGAAATGATATTAACGGATTTGATACCAAAGGGCATGATGGTATAATAATTACATTACTGGACTTGTAATCCAGGACTAGGGTAAGATCCAGAGACAAGATTAAATCTCAGCGCAGCAGCTAAGGAACTAAGATTCAATGAATTAAATAAACTAGTATTAGCAATGGGGATAATACAAATGTTGCTGTGCCTTTCAAAACCCATCTGGTTCACAAATGTCCTTCAGGGAAGGACCTTTTGCTGTCATTACCCAGTTGGTCTACGTGCAACTGCAAACCCACAACGATATGCTTGACTCTTAACTGATCTCTGAAATCATTGAATCCCAACAGTGTGGAAGCAGGTCATTCAGCCCATTGTGTCCACACCAACCCTCCAAAGAGCCTCCCACCCAGACCCATCCCTGTAACCTTGCATTTCCCATGGCTAATCCACCTAGCCTGCACATCCCTGGAAACTTTTGGCAATTTAGCATGGCCAATCCACCTAACCTTCACATCTTTGGACTGTGGGATGAAACTGGAGCACCCAGAGGAAAACGGCACAGACACGGGGAGAATGTGCAAACTCCACACAGACAGTTGCCCGAGGCTGGAATTGAGCCTGGTTCTCTGGCGCTGTGAGGCAGCAGTGCTAACCATTGAGCCACCATGCATGCCACTCGGTTTTATTCAAGAACAATGCTGCTGGAAAGGGAGTTCCAGGATTGTGATGCAGTGATGGTGAAGGAACAGTGTTGTAGTTCCGAGTCAGGATGGAGTGTGGCTTGAAGAGTGGAACTCCCATGCAACCTGCTGCCTTTGTCCTTCAAAGGTGGTCAAAGATCAGACAGAATATTATTGTGTGGCCAGGCAGGTTCAACGGCCCCCGTTACTTATTCCTGCCCCTACTTCTTATACTTGTCTCTGCATTATGTCCCATTATTAGAAAAGCAATTCGGAAAACCACAAGTAACAATCCAAGATTTCCATACCAAAGAAATGGAATGTGAATTATATTAATCGCTGCAAAATAGCGATCCTGTTATTGTGTGATTGGTAGCTAAATTTCAATCTGTTCGTTATAATTTTATGACAAAAAATTCTGAGTTTTCAATATTATGTAGTAACAGTAATAGAGTAATATAACAGTAATAAAATGAAAATATAAAATAAATTGAATTTACAGATTGTTTGAATTGATTTTGAATAAAACAGTGAACACTTATTTTCAAGGATTTTTACATTCCACCTGTAAGGTATGCATATTGCTGCAATATCAGTGTAGATTCAGAGAGTGAATCGTCTCAGCCCCTCCTGCAAAATGGCTTGAAAGAGTCCAGGCAGCAGGCACATGTGACTGACTGTTATAGGATTGAAATGGGGTCCGGGAGCTGTTTCTAAACATTTTTAACTGTCTGAACAAAGTGATTTTCTGGAACATACATCCCACTGAAAGCACAGAGGAAACAAGTTCAACAGTAACAAATTCAATAGTAACTGTCAAAAGGAAATTGGATACAGAGTTGAAACGGATAAATGTGCACATTTAAAGGGAAAGACTAGGAGAGTGGAAATAACTGAGCAGCTCTTTTGAAGGGCTGTCACAGACACAATGGGCTGAATGGCCTTCTTCTGTGGTTTAAAACTCTACACTTATGGTACCAAGAAGGAACAATCCAGCTGCTGTGTATATACAATGGTTTTGAGTATCTTCATCAACCAGATACGGAGACAATGACACACTCTAGGCATCCCTTGTAAACACACAACCCATCGAAATGATATCAATCCAAGGGAACAGCTCTTTTCTTTTACCTCTCTATCTGAAGTGGTGTTGGCGATTTCATAGTGTCTGTCAAAAGCCAGTTCAGCCCCGTTATCCACATGTTCATCTCTTCTTCGGAAGTAGCTGTGAAGAGCGTGACAAGAGGAGAGCGTGAGAAGGAGAACAATACTATTCACGAAAACTGGCTGAGCATAGAAGCCTGAAAGTTAATGCTGGCGCTAATGTCCCATTAGTCCAACATCTGCATGCAATCAAGCAATTTGACTGAACATAAGTCAGCGAATTATTCATTCATATCGACACTACAATTGCCAGATTGCTTGGCTAGCTGACTAGAACAGAATTGTCCTTCCACATCAGTTTAAACCTGCACTAATAAACAGTGGCATGTTGTTGATTCTTGTTTAAAACATTCAGGAGCAGTTTTTGGCCTGTGAGAATATTGCATCAGTCTTCCAAAAGTGCCATTAACTTTGTACTAAACTGTACTCAGGAAGCTGGTGTGTATTGATGGCAAATTCCCAAGCTCTGCTGTCCCAAGGCAATTAGACAGGAGAGAACATGTGTTTACAAGTGCGTTCCCTTCACCTAATTCTCTCGTGATGTCTGCCACCTCTACGGACCTTAGCCATCAACTGGCAAATGCAGAGAATGTCAGATAAAGATCGGAATCAGGCCAAGTACTGATTGCTGTGTGACGGTCACAAGATGAGATGAAGAGGATGAAAAAGCAAGTATGAAAATGTAGGTGGTTCTGAACCAAAACTTTCTTTTTTATTTGTTAACAGGAAGATGGCCGTCACTGGCTAGGCAGCATTTATTGCCCATCCCTAATTGCCCAGAGGGCAATTGTTGTGGGTCTGGAGTCACATGTAGGCCAGGCCAGGTGAGGATGGCAGTTTCCTTCCCTAAAGGACATTAGTGAACCAGATGGGTTTTTCCCAACAATCGACAATGGATTTACGGTCATTATCAGATTCTTAATTCCAGATATTTTTATTGAATTCAAATTCCACCATCTGCCACGGCAGGATTCGAACCCAGGTTCCCAGAATGTTATCCAGTCTCTGGGTTAACAGTCCAGCGATAATACCACTAGGCCATTGCCTCCCCTTACTATTACTTGTAGTGCTACTTTGAACTGGAAGAATGACCAATCCGGGATCTATCTAACTGTAAGGAACTTTGCAAATCTTCTAGAATTTACCTGCTAGACTGAGAGTTTTTAGCCGGAATTCCATTCCATACAGAATGACGAAACAGTGAGCTAAATCGGCCCGGGATATATCAGACCTGGCGGCATCATCCTGGTATCGTTCAAAATCCCGGGAATTTCTTCCTGAACGAATCTCTTTGATTTCCCGAATATCGACTGGAAGAAAAGAAAAAGGTTTATCAAATCAAGAGCGCTCTTTGTCCTTTTCAAAGTACATCCACACATTCCTGGTTTATGCACTAAAAGATTCTAATCACAGTTAGCAGGCTGTTTGTGAGTGCCTAGGTTCAGGAAGTGATACAGTTGTTCATTTGGGTCAACTTTTGCAGGGCACTGGGAGGATACAATAGTGAAGCTGAAAATTTAACAGGGTTAATGCTTAGTGGCAATATTAATAAGGAAATATTGAGGTCTACAGGTGGAGGATGGGAAAGAAGAAACGATGTACAGTAACAATAACAACTTGCATTGATATAGTGCCTTTCATGTAATAGAAATCATGGAAACAATACAGTACAGGTACAGGCCATTCAGCCCACACTGACTCTCTAAAGAGCACCCTATCCCTGTAAGCCCTTATTTACTATGGCTAATCCACCTAGCTTGCACATCCCCAGATGCTACGGGCAATTTAGCACGACCAATCCACCTAACCAGACTATCTGGAGGAAACCCATGCAGACACGGGGAGAAATGTGCAAACTCCACACAGATAGTCACTTGAGGCTGCAATTGAACCTGGGTCCCTGGTGCCGTGAAGGAGCAGTGCTAACCACTGAGCCATTCCTCATATCTCAAGGCTCTCCACAGGCACATGATAAAGAGAAATCAACCTCTCCTTTGATACTGCCACAAGACACCATGGTTGCACCCCCTAGTGCAGACTTGATAGGATATGGTGGACAACTGTTTTAGCCATTCATTGCCCAGATCTGGCTAAGCCTCTTCAAACATCACTGGGCCCTGTTCTCATAAAAAAAAATGCTCTTTATTCTAGGATCACCCTAGAATGGAAAGATAACATCCAACTTTTTTTTATCTATTGTGAATTATCTTCTTGAATCTTCCTTCTATCCTCGTGCCCACTACATACGAGGACTGCTTTGTCATTAAAGAGTTGCCTCTGGCACATTCCTTCCTTGCACTATCACAGTTGGCTAAACATCCACCAATATACACCCCTATCCTGGTCCTGAACTCACATCTTTCTACACTTTTGCTCCTATCTCTCCTCGTGCAGTCCGAGAGCTCATCTTGTCCATGAGGACCACCTCTTCCTCCAAAGCCTCAACACTGCAGTCCACCTTTATGGGACTGCTCCCACCTGCTTCCATTTTTTGTTTCGTTAATTGGAGCCAGAAAGTCATTTGTGCTGACTTCGCTTCCTACCCCACTACCATTACCACTGGTGTCTCCTTCGCCCCCTCCTGTTTCTCCTCTACACGCTGTCATTTTGTAATAGTACCTGAAGGTACAGTGCTAGTTTTCACATTTATCTGTCGAAACCCTGCTCTCCCACTTCTCTTGACTGTCTCACGGTTGCTACATTGTCAGACCACTTAACTAACATTTAATTTTCTTCAATTAAACGTTGGGAAAACCGATGTTATTATGTTCGATCCCCTCTTCCAAACTCTATTCCCTAGACGTTGACTCTATCTGTCTCCCTGGCAACAGTCTGAGATGAACTTTCAACCCTACATTCATGCCATTACTCAGACCAACTATTTCCACCTCCATGGCCATCTTCGTCCCTATCCTAGTTCATCAGTTGCTGAAACCCTCATCAATGCCTTTGTTGCCTCCAGACTTCACTTGATTTAACCACACTTGGCTGCTCTCTCACATTTCACCCTCCATAAACTTGAGGTCATCCAAACCTTTACTGCCCATATCTTAACTTGCACCTCCTGCACCATGCCGTGTCATTAACCTACACTTGCTCTTACACACGTTACACTCTCCTCAAGAGCAAAATCTGGATTTTAAACTCCTCAGACTTGCTTCCAAATCCCGCTGTTGCTGTGTCCCTCCGTATCTTTGTAATCTCCTCCAGCCCATGAACCCATGAGGTATCCGTGCTCCTGTGATCCTGCCCGCTTCAGCATCCCTATCACCACTGGTGATTCTGCCTCTAGTCTCCCAAGCCCCAAGTTTTGGAACCCCCTTCACCTTGTTTTCTAACTTTAAGGCACTTCTTAAAACATAAAACGTTTAGTCAGCTGACCTAATATCACTTACACGACATTTTGTCATTGTTCGTTGTAACGGTCGTAAGAAGAGTCTTGGGACATTTCATTATTTTAAAGGCTTTATATAAGATGCTATAGTATCTCAGAAAGAAAGAAGATAAAATGCAGAAAAAAAGGAAAGAAAGGATTCCATTTCCATGGTGCTTTTCACAACTCCCAAAGTATACTGCCGACAATGAAGCACTTAGGCACGTCATTACTGTAATTAGGAAATGCAGCAGCCAGTTTGTGCACAGCAAGATCCCACAAACTGCAATGTGGTAACTATGAGCTTGTTTTTATTGAGTGATGCTGTCTCATGGAAAATACAATAGCTAAAACAGTGGGGAGAATATTTCCACTCTTCTTTAAAATAGTGCCACAATATCTTATAGCTCCATTAAAGACAGGGTTAACATTGTACCAGATGGATGGTGTCTCTGACTATGTGGCACAACCTCAGCATTGTTCAGGAGTGGGAGCTAAGCCTACAACTTCCTGACTCAGAGGCTACCACTGAATCACTGTTTAAAACATTGCCTTAAATAGAAATCATTCCATTCAGGTGGAAAACTGGATTTAAAGCATGCTCCACACTGTTCCAATCACCTCTAGGAAATCTCCGAAAACACGAAGAAAAACCAAAGTTGAGCTATTGTGAGACGAGGTGAGAGTCAGGGTTAAAAACGTCATTCAACATCCCAAGATTTGATTTATATCCCCATGTACTCTCCTAACACACGAACACTTGTATAACGTTAGCTTGCATGGTATCTTTGCAAAAAAATCCCATACGTCATTTATTTCTTCTTTGTAAATTCATTCTTTCTTTATGTCAGAAGGTGCCTGATTGAGATTGAACAAACAGGGTGACTGATCGAGTTAAGTCAGTGACAATGCAGCTAAGGGGCAGGGCTGTTGAGGCCAGGCAACGCAAAAATCACAGTCGTTCAGGTTGATGGCTGAACCCTCAAATCCTACCAACTTTGTCCTTTTTTGGAATGGCTGGTAAAATCGGGGAAAAGATTAGTGAAGAAGGAAATTTCAGATTTTACCATGGGTTAGTTAAGAGGATGGAGGTGTTAAGGTGGATTGAATAACCTCTCTCATCTGGAGTTATGTTGAAGCCATCAATTTTCAGTCTGCATTACTATGTCCAGGCACTGAGTTTCATTTAAACCCAGTCCTGCATTATGCGCATCCCATCTGCTTCCCTCATCCCTCTCCTCCCTGCTTTCTGTTACCAAGTTGTTTCAAGATTGTGTTTCTAATCAAAGACAACTACACATTAAAAATAACCTGCATTGATATAGCACTTTTAATGTAGCAAAAATTCCCAAGGAACCTCATCTGACTAGAATTGACACTGGGTCAACAGATACGAAAAAGAATTACGTGTTAAGGGATGAGGGAACTAGGGGTGGAGTACGCAAGAGATTTAGGAAAAAATTCAGAGAATTCCAAATTCCAAAGACACAGCCCCCCACCAGCGGTGGAGCCAAGTGTTGTATTCCAGATCGTCAGGAAGGATAGAACTAGAGCCTAATCTTTACATCTTTCGTAAAATTTTATTTACAATGACACATTTGAACAACGTATACCTCCTCACCAAACATCTGCCATTTCAGTCTGTTCCTATTTAGAATTATTTTTATTAATAACATAATCTGTGGTCATCACATCTGAGATGGGAATTGAACCCAGATTTATAGGAGCACAAGTTCATGCCAATCATCCACTCACAAGTGAACTCAACCAATATACAAATAACACATGGGCGATACGCAAGAGGTCAGATTTGAAGGAACACAGATTTCTTGAAGGGTAACCTTTGACATGAGGAAAATTCATTAAAAATAACAAGGCAATTTTTAGTTAAAAGATGATCATTTTCAATACTAAAGTGGGAGATTAATTTGACCAAAAATTAACCCTATGAGATTATCCTTCCTTTTTAAATGAAGTTGACTGGTGGAATAATTAACAAACAAAAAAAGTGTAAAGATATCAACGTCAACTATCAGGAAGATCTTATCTAAAAGTTTGAACTTAGCACTTTGCAACATTACATTAGGGAGCTCAGATCAATATCATAAGCTGATAAATCATAATCACTCAGACCTTAAGGATCACCACCTTAAGACACTGGCAACCACAGCTAGGCTTTATCAACTGTAAGGTTGTGAAATTTTCTTTTTAATCATTTATTTGCAGGATTGCCCATTCCAAATGCTGTCAAGAAGGCAGCTGCAAGTTCCTTCTGGTGTATGTACGCCCACAGAGTTGTTAGAGAGCACGTTCCAAGATTTTGACCCCGTGACAGTGAAGGAAAGGCGATATATTTCCAGTTCAAATGGCTTGTAGCTTACAGGCAAACTTGGTGCACTTATTATCTCTATAGCACAGAAGCATGAGTCTAGAAGATTGTTGAAGAAATCTTGACAAGTTGTCACTGTGCATTTTGTACATGATTCCCAATGCAGCTACAACGTGCTGGGAGTGAATACTGAAGGTAGTGGATGAGTTGGGGCTAATTCAATGGGCTTCATTGCTCTGAATGGCGTTGAACTTCTCGAGTAAGATTAGCCACTGGAGGGTGATCCTTCACACTCCTGAAATGTGCCCCATGTGGGTTTTAAAATCTATGGTTGACTCAAGAAATTAAGGGTAGTTAGTACAGCCCTGGGAGTGGGGTAACAGTTCAATATAGTTAAAATTCAATAAATAGTTCACCCAGAAAAATGGGTTGGTAATATTTTGCAAGACCAAGGTATTAAAGATTATAGAACTAAGGTAGGTTGACGAAGGTAAAATATGGATCAGCTTATGATCTAAATGAAACATGAAACAGGCTCAACGGGTTGAATTTCTATTCCATGTTCTTATGTACCAGCATAATCTGAAAGAAATTTATATAGCACCTTT